CAATCCCAATTGAGTATTAGGTTGTCCGAAACCCCTCTACTCAATTGGGATTGGTCGATTTTCTTACGCTTACGTCTTACGGGATTTTATGTGATAAACCTTAACTTGTAACGGTAATTATTTTTTGAAAGTAAAAAAAAAAACTACCTAGTTACTTTTACAAAATAACAGTCTCAATTTGTAAAAAAAAACAGACCTTGTAATGTAATATCGATAATATGTATTTACAACACGTTACTGGGGCCTTATTTCTCGAAAAATTCCAGTATACATTACATACATTATAGATTTTCGTACGCGATATAGATTCAAGAATGTAAGCCAAGTGCCCGATTTTTTTTTCATGCATATATCACTGCGCAGCTATGCAGACTCGGACGAGTCTCCATGCCCGCGGCATAAAAATGCAAGCGTACGCTACTGAATTTTTGTTAAACTGAAGCGGTTGCGTGCGAAGCGAATGCGTGCCGTTAGACCGTAACTTATAAACAAACAAGTGCCACATTGTACATACGTATAACGTGCACGAGCATGGTGAACCGTAACGAGACAGTACCTTGATACTTTCCCTCTTCCAGTGTTCCGGAGAATCCGGAGACCCTTAAACGGAGGGTCGATAAACTCTGACGTAACGAATTTCCAAGATCGAACACGCAACGGCGTGACCTCCCCCCCATCCCTCGCCCTTTCCCACGCGCGGTAAGAGGCCCTAAAAATCACCGATTGCGATAAGAAAATCGGCGAGGAAGAGCCTAGGATACTGTCCGAGAGAAGAATTCTATCGAACATGGTGGATCGTTAACCTCGCGCGCACAAATCGAGGGAACGTCGGCGCGCGCGATGCACGCCAATACCGAGCGATTTGCCACTTACATTCTCCGCCTGGTTTACACCGCCTGACACTCCGAGATCACTTTAGGCGCTCACAGATCTTTTCCTCCCGAGGATTCCACGTCCTCTCCTCCACGTTCTTCCGCCACAATCGGTATCAAAAACCCGTCGAAACGCACTCGACCCGGGGCTCGCGCCTCGCTTCGAGTACCGTCCGTGATGAGCGCGATGTGAGAAAGAAGTGGCGCCGGACGACGCGCGGGAAGAGAGGCGACCAATCGCCCTTCATAAATACTGGCGCCATCTGCAACGCGCCGAAGGATTCACATTTCATTACTTGGGTGCATCTAGGTATCATTTTATCTCTGTTTACCTTCGGTGAACAGCTGGTGAGTGACAGGGATAAAATGAGCACCGTTGGACCGCTATAACGATCGAAAGGGCTGGTCGATTTTTTCTCAACAATACTTTGTGGATGTAGGCAAATTTTGTTTGGCGGGATCTTTGCGCAGGAAGAGCGATCGTCATGTGTTTAACGGATAATAATGGATGCAGATGTGATACACGTGTGGGGAACGATGTGTGGCCTGTACGTGACATTCTTTATTTTAGTCTCTCGAAAGTATGATTATTATAAAAAATATTAAGAATTAATAATAATTTATAATTAGAGTAAATGTTTAGTTATTATAGACAACTCACTCTAACTTCAATGTCGATAAAAAAATACGAATGAATTTTTACGTAAAAATAAAGATTTGAAAAGTAAAAGTCGCTCAAATATTAAAAAGTAATTAAGTGTTAAAATTGACGCTATGTAAGTTAGGAAATCTGTTATATCAACGAAGTGCAGTGATGTATCGATGAAATATTATTAGAGCCACAATCTTATAGGTATATTAACGTGGTTATTAAAATTTAAGCAATTAGTTAATATTATATTAATTTTATGATTTATTATTGGACCAATGATTTTCAGACACGTACATATATTGCTAATATACTTGCTAATATAATTAATTTTATTTAAAACTGCATTCTTATAGTTATCAATAAAGATGGTAACGCAGTCAAAAAAAAATTGTAATTTTGTGGCAATATATTCATATTATTTATATTATTTATAAAGCATTTGTATAATAAAAAAATTATGATTTCAATGCATTATTTGCAAATATTTATGTTAACATTCGCAAATTTATATTTATAGTTGATAATATTATTGACACTCAATTATCTCCAAGCCTCTCAGGCCCTGTTTGATGGCCACGAAGATTTGCCTAGGATTGACGGTCTTTAATAGTATCTCATTGATGAGTGATATAAGCATATGCAATAATAGAATATAGTGCGAAATTTGAAATTGCACTTGTAAAACATACATTAAATTATCTGATTATTTCAATGCAAAATAAGATATCTACAATTATACTATTTTACACAGGTTTGCAATTTTTCACATCAAAACGTGAAACCGTACAATTGTAGATCTCAACATAATATAAAATATAAAAATCATATAAGTTTTGCTTCTTGTTAAGCGACACGCTGTATGATGCTTTTACTTGTGATTTATGATATGTCTTACCTTGCACAGAGATCTGCTAATCTTTTTGATATCTATTTAATAGATATATTCACTTATAAATTATGAAAATATCCTGTAAAACCTTATATATGTATATGATTTTTTAATGCCATATTAAACTGAAGTCTATAATTATAGGATTTCATATGGTTTTCAATTTTTCACACAAAGCACTTTACATAGAAATTGAAATCTTGTGTAGGATTGTAATTATAGGTCTTGTTTGACATTAAAATTACTAGGTAATACATATATGTTACAAATATACATTTCAAATTTTACGCACTTGTTCTATCACAGCGCATGCTCATATCACTTTATAATGTCCAGTACGATAGATTTTTTAACTTTTACACACATCAACATTAACACTTAATTATTACTTTCTCAATACAATTTTTTGGTTAAATCTTCATTTTTACGCGGAAATACATTAAGTGTATTTTTATCGAAATTTAAGTGGAGTGGGTTAAAACATGAACATATAAACATTTACCATATAATATTAAATTATTGTAATTTTATTAAAGTATTGAAATGTCATCATAATAGTATTTTCACCTTTCATTCGCCATCTTTCGGGATACAAGAATTTTATATATAAAGAAAAATCAACAAACGCGTTTAGTATATATATACGATGCAATTGAAGATCTGACTAAGAACCAGCCAAGTCAAACATTAGAAGAAAATCAATTGTGTAAAAAATCTAATTCTCAAACGCTTTGCTATATAATGTTCAACATGAAAGTGATGCTTTTCGCAAGAATAATCATAATATAATTATACAATTTCTGTTCCTTCTTTTATCATTGGAAAAGTCATTAAATGATACAAATACAAGCTGAAGAAAACGAGTTTGGTTGGTTCTTGCAGCCACACCTACAGCTGTTATTAATAAAACTTTATTTATGCATATTGCATGATATACATTCCACATTTTAAATTTAAACGTTATTTATAATTCATTATTTACAAGAGTCACGTTATGTATAATTAATTAAAATATATAATTATTACAATAAACTATAAAGTAAATCAAACAACAATGAACTTGCCATAAAAAATTTAACAGCGGATTGATCGAGCTATATGCACATTCTGACAAGTTAAATGGATGGCAAGAGGTCCCTTGGACTTGAGCTGACTGTTTCTTGCGCGTGATCGCATTTCTGAGCACAAGTATGACATGTATGAGTTTTACCTCTTTGAGGTAAATAATGGCACTTGACACTTGCATACGTATCCTATTATAATGTATAACACTGCTTCTAGAACCCGCCAGACGCGATATAAATATAAAATTAGCAACTCTAAAACTTTCTCTTTAAATTTTTGACGACATTGTCCGAAATTCATAAAAACTGTAAATTTTATCACAGTACAGTTTTCTTTTCGTTCGAATCATTATTATATTGCGAGATATGACAAAAAATGTAAGAATATGATAAAATGCGAGTGCAATCTGTATATCACGTATGTGAGAGAAATATAAATAAATGCAGGTGTCGCCAATTTATCTCGTATTCTCGAGATCGATTATGTCCTATTAAAATTTCCTGCTAGGTAGTTAAAAACACGAATATTAAATAGAAGTCCTTTATACTTTTTTTGCGTTAAAAATCGTTATCCCAACCGGAGATATCGTCGGGTGGCGGCGGATCGGTATCAGCTGGATAAGCGTCGAAATTCGTAGTATCTGTAGCGCTTTGTACTCGTGGTAGTATCGGGGGCTCCAGAGTTCTCGTTTTTAGACCTTCCCAATTAAAGCCATCGAACCATCTGTAATGAGTAGAAATAAATCGTTTTAGTATTCTTTTACATTATTAACACGTTCGCTAGGGCATAATGAGGCTCCTTCGCCAATAGCCGATCATGCACCATCGCGTGATTCTATGCATTTAGTTAAAGCAGGCAAACTATTCGGGCTTTGAATGTAAAACTGTATAAAAAAAAAAAATAATTTTTGCGACATTGGCTTTCAGAGGTGATGTGTCTTTTCATATGGGCAGCGAACGTGTTAAAATGCTAAAATAGAAAGATACTCACTTGTGCTTCTGTATTTCACTGATGCCACCTCTTTGATATCCCAGACGTTCTACTGGATTATCCCTGGAAAAGAGGACAATTTGTATTGTTCGTGAGAAATAAATTTATTATTTGTATTGCAGTTGAAACATTGTTAGGTTATAAATATTTATCAGGAAAAAAAAGGGAAACTCTGATACGTAGAATTTATCATAATTTACCTGCAAAGTTTCTTGATGAGTGCCATCGCGTTACGCGTGATGGATCTGGGAAATTCTATAGCGTCGATTCCTTTCAAGATAATGTTGTACGTTTTCATCGGATCAGCGCCGGTAAAAGGAGGCGTACCCGTAAGCAACTCGAACATGAGAACACCAAGGGACCAGTAATCGGCGCTTATGTCATGACCTTTATTTAAAATGACTTCCGGTGCCACATACTCCGGTGTACCACAAAAAGTCCACGTCTTCCTTCCGTTATCCAATCGTTTCGCAAAGCCAAAATCCACTAGTTTAACATATCTAAAAAATAACACAAAATTTAAATCCATCAGAATTTCTTAAGTATTACGGAATTTTTTTTATCTATAAAAAGTAACATATCAATATGTTCGTAATTTCTTTAATTTTTTAAAAACTATTATATTATTATATAGAATGTATTCTTACCCTTGATTATCCAAAAGTAAGTTTTCCGGTTTAAGATCTCTATAGATGATATTCCTGGAGTGCAGATAATCGAATGCTTCCACAACGCATGCAGTATAAAAACGTGTAGTGCTATCGTCAAAGTATCCCTTGTCCCTGAGAACAGTCCATAATTCGCCACCCAAGCAGGACTCCATCAGCATATAGAGGTATTTCCTATCTTTGAAGGTTTTGAAAAGCTTGACTACAAAATCGCAATCCGCTTCGCTCATGATCCTCTTTTCCGACATAATGTGCTGCTGCTGTCGTGTCTCGACGATCTGCGCCTTTTTCATTTGCTTCAGAGCGAAGGATCGTGTGCTGTCTCCGGCAATTTGAACTAATTCAACTCTTCCGAAACCACCCACGCCGAGAGTCGCAATAGTCCGAAGGTCTTGCAATCGTACATCCCGAAATTCTTCATTCAGTCTAAAGAAATCGTAAGATTTTCAATATCTAATCAGTACGAATTACTTTTTTATTATGTCAAATGCACATTTATAAATTGCAAATAAACACGGCGAGTCGTCGCAACCAATTTATTGATAATACCGATAATTTTTTTGCTGATAAAATTATCGGCATTATCAGTAAAATTGATATATCTGTTTTTTGCTTTATACAATGTATCTGTTTTTATTTTTACCGCTAAACTTACTTGGAACGTATAGTTTATTGTCCCATCCTAATGCTAAGCGTGGAACATAATATTTATATATATAATAATGGTTGTGTAATATATACATTAATATATGTATACAATTCCAGAATTTGTAGCTCTGTGTGTGTATACAAACACACACACACACACAAATTCCGGAGTACTTGTCTATATTGAATCTAATTTCCGTATAGTTAACAAAAGATATATTTACCTCCTACGTTCTACCAACTCGTCCCTGTATCGCGTTCGGATTTCGTCCAAGGATGAAATTAATTGATTAAACGTTTCGCGGTCTATTACCAAACAGCTCACTCCTTCTGGATCGTCAGCGATAATATTAGCAGTTCTGAGATCATCTCTGTAACAGTGAAATAAATTAGCATATATTTGTCTTAATCTTACTGAATACATAAAATGCGAATTTTATTTAAAAACATTAATGCAATCTTGATACAAGATAAATTTACTCAAGCGAGTCAGTAACAAATGACGTGAATTTTTATGTTTTCACAACAAGGAAAAATATGTGAAATAAAGTTTGAAAATGATAATATTAATTATACTCACCCTTGTAAAGCTTTCTCGCCGAAGAAGTCGCCCTTTCCCAAGGTTCTAATATACTTCTCTTCCGTTGTATCGGGCTGTTTTATTGTCACGCGCACCTGTCCCCTACTGATGATGAAGAATGTGTCACCCCTCGCCCCTTGTCTGATTATATAATCCCCGTTGTTGTAAAACGTCTATGAATATGAAATTAATGACAATTATATAATTTAAAGGTATATATAACGAAATGTTTTTGCCAAGAAAATCAGCTCATACCTCTTCTAATACGTCCGAAATTTTGATTAGTGTTTCCTCGGGCAGATTTTTGAAGATTGGCACGCTGAAACGTAAAATCGTGAGTCAATTCTAAATGTAAACAACTAAAGATTATTTTTACAAGTTTTTGTTAGAGGACATTCATAACGGATTACTACGCATAAACCTGTCATTTATTTTTCTCTTGACAAAAAAATGCTATAACTCTCAATCCCAGACACATTGCGTAAGAAAATTAAAATATTTTTTGTATAACGGAACATTGGTATACATTGGATTTTTATAGATGGCACAAAAAAATATGTGTATGTACTTCACGTGAATTTATCTTTTAATAGTGCCTTAAAATCATTCGCGATACAGTTTCGCTGTGAACTGGATCGTTAAGTAAACGTTGGATGGACATTCGTACTTTACCATCTGTCGCGTTAATATTATTACTGCCAGTATTTTTCGTGACGATTATGTCAGTTACGTCGCATAAAAATAGAAAAATCAATTGCACAGAGCCACATTACCGATCATTGAAATAACATCTGCGCGAGTTTATAGCGAGTTTTGCACGTTGGAATAAAAGAATTAAAGAGTTGTCTTTTCTTATCAGAGATGTGTGCGTAAAGAACTTTGATAAATGACTTTCATAAATGCAGTTTTAAAAATTTCCAAGTTGGCATTGTCGTATCTTAAATGTTGAAATTGCAGATGTAGTCTGCAAACGGAACTTTACATTCTTATTACGAGCGATCCACTATTCAAGGAATATTCAATAATTTTCCGAGAGCGTAAAAGAATATATACTAAAATAATTACACAATTTTTTAAAAATTCAAATTTTATCACGGAATTTTGTTCAAAACATCAAGTATCTATACTGAAAATGGCAATGATTAGGTCTAAATTCATCAAAAGAAATTTATCTATTTAAGAAAGTTAAAATTGTAAATATACGGAAATAAACTTTACATTGCTTAATTACAATATAAAGCGACTAGCTACTCAAGAAATATTCAATAATTCCTGAAAGTGTAGAAAAATATAATAATTCTAACATTTTTGGAAAATCTAAAAAAAGTTATCACGGAATTTTGTTTAAGACAACGTTTATATTCAAAGATAACAAAGATCGGAGTCAAAATTCATCAGGAAGCATTCATTTATTCAGGAAAGGAATCTCACAAAGAAAGAAATCCGATGGCATTAGGTCGAGGATCTAGTCATCAGAGGTCAATAGAAAAGTTAAGGTGTCGTGCTGGTTTACCTCTTTAAAAAGTCCGTGTATTCGGCCTGCCTCGAGAGGCCGGTCCTCATCATAATGGTTTGGAAGCATTGTCGGTCGATGGCCCATAATTGGCAATCAGTCGCAGCAGTGATCGTCGCTGTCCTCTTGCAATTGTAAAGAATCGCGAGCTCACCCAGCACTTTACCGTGTTGCAAAGTGCTGAGATATTTGCCGTCCCTCGAGACCTCGACCTTACCCTCTGCAAAAGAATTTTAATCAGGGATCAGAGATATAATCTCTCGTCGTATGATGACTGTACAATAGAATGCTATTGACATGAATTTGAAGTCACTTAAATGTCAAAGTCCGCGCCGCAATCGTTTGTAACTGTGATGTGTGCAACCTTCTTTTAAATCACTTTCAGAAATAGATAAAATCTTGCGGCCCGTTTAACGTTTGTTTCGTTTGCATAAAGTGAAAAAGATATGATTTTAAATTTTCGATTACGAGCCGGAGGTTGCGCATCACTGCAGATTTATAAGATCGGAATTTAATCGTTAATATTACATTTATCATCTTAATTATATATTGATCTACATCACATTTGTTCTCGTCAAGCTGCTACAAAAAAGTAAATAACTGTCATTAAAACTGCTAAATTTTCTCATTCGGCTTGTATAATTACTAGGCAGGACTAAAATTGCCCACAGCTGTTAAATGCTGAATATGTTATTCAGCAGAGCAAAATTCTGGAACGGAAAAGTCGACCGTTTATATCTTTCCGAAACCAGTATTAAAATTAATTAGTATCCTAAGTAGCTCCGAGCTCTGAGCCAGTCGTTGAGTGATCGTCGACGTGCTTGATTAAACTGGAAATTGACACGTAAAACGGTAGCTATTATCAAGATATATCGGCGGGCTATCTTACAAATATTTTAACCCACGTTCGATTTCTTTGCTTTGAAAGCCGGAACACGTTCTGGAATATTAATGATCAATTTTTTACAACGTCGCGCAAGTCGGTTGACACACTCCCGACGGTTCACTGGCATTTCTAAATCAATTAAACGACCGTCGTTACCTTTTCGAGCACACCGACGCTTCTTCGTGATGTTTTATTTTTTTTTATTTTTATCGTGATGATCGACGGTGTTCTTCGAAAAGGTTGCTTCAGACAGCGTTAAGTCACGACAAGCTCGTAGACTGCTGTGTAGTTACACGCCATTTCGAATCGCGCTATGTGATATTCTCCAGTAATATAGGTATCTCCAGTAATATCTTTCTAGTATATAATTGACTTTCTAGTATATAATCATTCTTTTCCATCATTAATTTCTATTGTTAGATCAGCTATTCTTGCCGATTCTCAGTTTCTTGCTCCTCATAATAATTTTTTCATTGATTTAATTTATTGATTTACTCAGTTATTTACATTTATTTCTTTACTATTATTTATACAGTTTTTATATCATTGTAGAGATTTCCACTACAATCTATCTCATAATAATTTCCATATTCACTTTTTACACTAAACAAAATATTTATTTTGTTTGAACTCATTTCTCTTGTCATTTGCACTTCAATGAAATTATTATTATTATTATTATTATACGCTTTAGATCCGATTCACATTATAAATGCTTCTCAAAGTATTGTGATCTCATTTTCATCTTAGAATTTCCGTCATAGTTTTAGCTCACGCTCAGTCATTAAAATTACACGAGCTGTGTAACATCCTGTTATAGAATTCGCCGTAATACGACAACGTACGTAATTACTCTCAATAATATTTCTTACATTCCGTGCGGAGGAATGCGAGATTTAACACCGTTATACATGTCATATCCTTACGTCAAGATAAAATAACTGAATTATGCTTTTACAAGCATAAATTATGTTTTATAAGTGTAACTTAAATCGCTCACGCGATCTGTCATTTTATATGTCACGTTATCGCGTATCAATGTCTTTCTGCGTTTAAACGCGAAGAAAATACATACGATTCCCTTCCGCAAAACGGTCTATACCGCGCAAATGAATCGGAATCAATCAAAGGAGGATTCCGAGCAGATTGCGCGAGTTCAAAGTGGTCTTCTTATTCTTTTATCGCCGCCATCGTTCGCCGCGACTCAATCGAGTTCGACATTGCGACAGGATAGTCCACGGCCGCGTATTGTGCCCGCGAACGTTGCTTTCACTTCCTATATAGACGCATAACGCCTGGTACGAGTCACACAAGGGGCAACCCGAACCGGTTCCGTTACCGATCGCGCGCGAGATGGATCATATCTTTCGCCATCCGAAGTTAACTATCGAGTTAAGCGGCGGCTATTAATAAGCACGCGCGTCTCGGTATATAGCGCTCCCGTCTCGCGGAGGAGAATGCCCCATGCCGATGTCCTATTTGATTCCACCAGCATCCGCCAGCGGCAATTTTCCTTTGAGACAACGCGTCCCGTCGACGCAGGCGGTCTCTTTAACACGCGCGCGTTATGAATGAGTCACGAGATCCAGTTGGACCTATACGTATTCTTAATCTCACCGAGACCGAGCGATTTCTCTATCCTCGGCGACTCGCTATTTCCTCGCTGGCAGCCGATTTCCTCCAGAAATCACGTGAATTCTTTCTTCGCACTACATACACTACTCCCGAAAAGTTCCCGGACAGTAGCAAAATTTTTATGTTTGAAATTTTAAGCCGTTCAACGGTTAAAAACTTTAAACATAAAACTTTTGCTACTGTCCGGAAACTTTAATTTCGGGGGTACTGTATATCGAAATATCTAATTTGGTTTCCTCCACATCGCATTTGATAACACACGTGTAGATAAAATTTACTATCTTACGTTAATAAATGCACGTGCGATGTGTATCCCTGCACGTTTTCAATGATAATAGCTCTTAGAATCGATCGAGATTCAGCTAATTGTCGATATACAAACCGAAAAGAAAGCCTCCTCGGGAAACTACGGAAAGTCTTTGAGAAAAAAAAAACAATTTAATCGCTCGAGACGAGAAGGAAACCATTCTCATAGAAGTAGGTCAATATATGTATAACGCGTGCCTCTTTTACAGATTTCATTCTTGTTAGCAAACTTTTGCGAAGTTGCATCAATTTGCATACGCGATGGGGGCACATATAATAGAGGCTTGATACGATCGCTTCTGTATTAACGACTGCGTGCCCCAAATTTCGAACAATAGGCCGCAAGATGTGCGAACTCGCGTGTTATTTCGATGATGACTATCGCGAGGATACATGTCGGTTTACCTAATTACAATTAAAGCCCACTTTAGACGACCTGTAATTTGTTCAAAATGAGTACCATAACATTTATTGGTAAATTTCGACATTATATAAGTCTGTTTTCAAAATGCAATTATTAATTGCGTTATGCATCAATTTAAATTTGACTAATTGTAAGAGTTCTTCCTACGGAAAGAACGATTTTGCTGCAGGAAGGTTAAAATATTTGGATCTGAAAATAATTTTGTCAGATCATCAAAATAATTTTGTTGGAAACTTAAAAATGATAAGCATTGCTGTAAAACGTTTTGATAGTCTAGCAATCAGTTTGACTTTACAACAAAATTATTTTTTGATGATCCAACAATTATTTTCAAATCTGTATCTAGCAAAATCATTTTTTTCCGAGTAATAATACAGCGTAAAATTATAGAACTTAATAAGTGTGAAAATGCATTGAAATTGTATTACAAAGCTTGTATAGAATGCGTAACTGTAAGAAAGCCTAGAAAACTCGGAAAAATGTGTTGATAGTGCTCGCGTGCGCGTATCGTCATTACGAACTTTGGAAAGTGTGCATAATTGCGATATTAATGAAGAAACAACGTCGGGATTTTGATCATAAATCGCGTGCCGCGGAACGACTGTAGGCGGAGGATGCCAACGATTAAGCTGCATGTGGTTCAATCCGCGATTACGAAAGGTTTTTGCAATAACTAATTTAAATAATTGAAGGTAAAGACTCAACAAATACCTAAGAATCACATACATCTATAAATATGCGATAGAATAGCGATTAAATAATCTCGCTAAAGAGAGAAAAGTCAAATGCTTCAAATATTTAATAACTATTCGTATTTTTTACAAAATTACCACTAAAAATAAGTAAATAAAGGCTATCGTTTTTCATGTGAGCATTTATTGTTCACTGTTAAATCTATAGTATCAAATTTAACCTTATTTAAATCGCCACTGGTCCTACTTAATAAATAGTTATTTTTAACTAAAACAATGGAGTTAAATAATTCAAAATAGTTTTAATTTTACCCAAATTTGGATTAAATTCCATCGTTTTAATTAAAAATAACTATGTATCAAGTAGGAGCAGTGGACTTAAATAGGATAATTAAATTTGACACTATAGACTCACAGTGTTAGATGTATTATTGTCCACGTCATCCGAGAAGAAGTTAAAAAGAAAGCAAACTCTACAAATAGCATCCTCCTCATTAATGTCAGTTATCTTGCGTAAAAGTATTGTACTCTTGTGCAGGATTCGCACAATGAAAACCTTTCGATTTGATGCTACGAGGATAGAAACGTCCGAGTTTGAATACCGCTTCGAGGGGCAGAACCGAATATCGGCAAAGTCATACTCCTTGGTCTCTGCATGACATTCCGTTTAATCTTCGCGAATAACGTGCATCGGCATTCATAGCGTATAGATAATTATGTAACCACGCTGCGAAAGTCGAGAGAGTTGTCCTTCGCTCGCCTTTTTATCACTTTCGCAAGAACAAAACCAAGCCCACTCAGTCACTCGCTGCAATTCCGTTTCGGAAAAGAAGAAAATAAATAAAACATGCGCATTCTCTCGCGTGGAGACTCGCTTGTATCAAAACGCGGATGTTCCTGATGTGTCATCATATCGTTTCACCAAAACAACTGATTATGCGCATCGTTTGTTTAGCAAATATTCAAAGCAGCGTCGAATACATTTTATAAGCCGCGAATCGCCGATCTCGGATGACTGCATCGCGATTAATCACTGTAAACGTTCAATATCACCTCGTATTAATATTTATAATTCATTGACGTCGGCTGCATAAATTAAGATATCGAGAGAATTGCAATGATCAGAAACACGATTGTCTATCACGTTTTCTCATTAGATTAAATCTTCTTATTAGATTAAATTAATTACATTTCTTCAGATTCTTCCCAAGTATTTTATGCTTACCGAAATTGTCTAGAGCATGAGAAACAATGTCGATAATAAATATTTAAAGATTAATATTGTAAAAATATCAGGTATGAATTGTAACTCTAATAAAATTATAATAAAAATTATATACATTAAATAACAATAATAATAATAATTTTATATATCCGCAGAAACAGTAATAAAATTACAGTAAAAATTATGAAAGCTATATCCAACAAATCTGTATACGATATATTTAACAAATCTATATATACAATTTCGTATATTGAAACCTGAATTCTAAAGATTTCCCATGTGAAAGCATAAATGTTACGAAGGCGAAGCGAAAAAAAGGCACATATCGACTCGCGTTATCTTCGCAACCAGTCTCGCTTCTACGTGGATCATGCATTTTTGCAAAGTTTCGATTTTCGTACTTCGCGTTGTACTGGAACGCGAATCATTGTGCACATAACGCTCGCAGTGTTGTTCCATCCCCCGGGAAACAAAGAAACTCACTCGATATACCTGACGCTAACAGACCTTGCGGAGGAGAAAGAACGAGAAAGAGAGAGAGAGAGAGAGAGAAAGAGAAAGGGACGAACAGAAGAAGAATCCTCGTCGAGGTTCGTCCGGTTCGAGTCTGTGCATATACTGCACCGGCTGCATCGTTCGCACAGAGCACCGCTGAATATATCCATGAGCCTTGTGTGTACACACATATATATGTATATGTATAAAACACGCGGTAGAAGGCCTAGCATGACGACATAACAGGACAAAGAGTTTACGCTTCACACATGATATCCCCTCGAGGTTTTACACGAAACCGGCGTAACCGAACTCCTGCTTATTTGCTCCGGTAGCTTCGGGCTCGCATTGAAGCGTGAGACAGCGATCGGGCAGTTTGGTAAAAATGCGATAAGCGTAATTTATTTTCATCGGAAATAAACTATACCGCAACCTTCACTATACGCGACGCGTCTACCCAAGTCGCCGCGAACGAGCTGATTCACAATTTCCATTTCCCAGAATGTGAGTCGAAGAAAAGGCAAGAATCAAGAAACAACAAGAGAACGCAATTCGAGAGAAAGCAAAGAATTTCATCGTTGAGAAATAAGGCGAACCAGTTTTGGACCGTTTCATGGAACTCTCTGACATTATCTTTCACTTTCGTCGATCAGCGTTTCGTGAATGGAAGGAGACTTTTGACGAGTGTCGGTGAAACGAGAGTTTCCAGGTATCGGTCTTGAAACCTACGATTAGTACCTGCAGAGAGGGATCACAAGATCCTGTCACCGTGCAACAACGAGGGTCGATATAAACGTCACGGCAAGACCCTCGATTGGCCGAGCGCGCTGATTACCTCATTGTTGCTTCTGAGCTGCTGTGTAAAGTCACGGTTTTTTGCGTAAAAGGCGCGCAAAGCAGGATGTCGAATTGGGACACACCGCGATTGCGGAAATCGGCTATAGCACTGCTATAACAGCCACTTGCTGTGAACATTCAGCTACTACCGCTCGCCGGTATCCTTTTTATTTTCCACCTTTCTATCCCTCCCGAAACTCCCGTGGAAGCTGCCGATGGATGAGCAAACGGGCACTGCTTAAGCGGAAAGGAGTTCAATGTTGAATTAAGTAATACATTTAATTAAGTTATATTCAGCGACTCGAACTCGTTATACATCTCGCGATATTATATATACATACGAATTTCCGATCAAAAATTAAAAATCACACACATTCATCATTTGAGAAAGCATCGTCGTTAGAACGTTCCGCTTTTTGCGACTCTTCAATGCTTAATTGCACTTACAATTAGTATAAGACACAAGATGGTTTATTTTCTGCGGTTAGACAATCAGGCCTGCACGTATATAGGCAACGACGATATTTCATTGTGCTTTATTGACAATTATAATTTTAATTAGCGGAAGCGGCACTCGCGGTCTCGGTCCTCGAGTGTCTCTGGCACTTGAGACCTACATGCATGACCATTATTGTGAGTCACGATGACGCTTTGACAAAAATAAATCGCAGGATCTAGGCGATCTTGACTACTGGCGATATCAAAAGGCCGACGGCGCTGCCGACGTAAAATAACAGATCTATAATAAAATGACAACGTTCAAACGATTTCATATGTAACAATCTGTAATAATAATCTCGCGTGCGCGTGTCAAACGATTTTAATTTTTCATTCGAGTTATTAGCTCGATTTATCATTGAGCGATGCGCGAGAATTGCAATTATATCCGGCCTGAATACCAATCGCCTTTCGAGATACCAATTAGTATGTGTCCAATAATTATCATTTAGGCAACGCTAAAGAATCAATCTGATCGTACGATTTATCATATATGGGATACAGTTAAGTGCAGTAATTAAGTGGAAAAATTAAGATTATTAAAAGATCGTAAATCCCTGTCTAGGAACGAGCGATACGCAGTATATCAACTGCGTGAATAAAAGATTAGGGAGAAAGTGGTTAATTAGAATAGTCTTACGTCAATCGCTCCCCGAATAAATGTGGGCTCGGCAATGTTTGCCCGAAAACTTGAATTCGACGACGAAAAAAGATGCTGTCGTGCAGCAGCTGTCGAGATTCCCAGCTTTAGACGTGCCGTGAAGACCAGATGCCCCCGATTATCAAACATTTCGGGCATCCACATCTGGATACTTCGTGTGCTGTAGTGAGAGGAAACTATAGATTCTCGTCGTGTAAAGAAGAATCTCTGAAGATTATATCGCTCCTTAAATTAATCATTGCTATTATATTTCATGTAAAGGAATATTTAGCGAATCACGCGAACAAAAGACTAATTTGGAATCGTCGATAAAAACGTGTCAAAAAGCAGTCACGAATATGCACGTTTGTTTAAGCTGACACAGCCATTTTAGCACAAACAGATTGAATGTACATTTCGTTTGCAATCCGGTTTTGTTGATTCATCCGTAATTTAAAAACACCCTGCCCCCCTTTCATTACAGTATTAATACTGTTCCAGTTATTTCAATTTCATCAAATTTAAGTTTAATGACACAATTATGCTTATTTTTAACGAAATAATTGCGGCAACAAAATCGGAGTAAAGCAACACAAAAAAACATTCAATTTCTGTGTATATTTCATTGTCTATTATCTATTCTGTGTATATTTCATTGTCTATTGTCATATTAAATTATCTGTGATAGACATGCACAATGCACTGTTAGAATAATTGTAGTTTTCAGTCACGTTCATTGAGAAATGGGACTTTCTTTTCATAAAAAAAAAGTGACACACCTTAATGCACATTTCTATACGTTGGACATGTCTACGACATTGGAGATATACTAAAATTTATGTTGTGTGTATGTCGCAGCAATGCAAAGTTTGTAGATATAATGTAAACACCTTTCTCTCGTTTATCTAACTTCAAAGCGGCGTTATATGCGTTGATAAGAAATCCAACTAGCGATGCAAGATGTTGAATGAAATTTTCCGAATGTTTTATAAATAAAACAACTGTAAGAAATTCGATGAACAATTACGCGGATGGCAAAATAACGTAGATCATTAAATTTTTATGAGATTAATTCGGCGGTTTCTTGAAATACGCCGAGTAAAATTTAACGGAATGACATTGTCAAATGATTTGCGTACTGATTTGTAACACGATTTTCATGAATGCATTTACACGTAAGGCTAATTACATTGAACATACACAAACCGCATTTTAGCATATTCGAATGTCACTAGGTAAAACCGACGACTAACTACTTAACTTTGCTTTCCATTATTGATACTTACACGTCGCTACGCGACTTTCTCCATGACGCACGGCGCCATATAAATCGATTTTAACAAAAACGGCTAAACGTGATATATTCGCGAATGTAGCAAATTTTAAAAATTAAAAGCTCACAGAATTTATCTCTACACGGAAAGAACAATTTTGCTGAATCCAGATCTGAAAATAATTTTTGTTCAATAATCAAAATAATTTTTTTGCAAAAGTCAAAGTGATTGCTAGAATATCAAAACGTTTTATAGCAATGCTTATCAGCTTTAACATGCCAACAAATTATTTTAATGATTCAATAAAAAAATTACTTTCAGATCTGTTTTTAGCAAAATATTTAGACCTTTCAACAAGATCGTTCTTTCCGTGTATAGAATGTATTGTTAATAGTATACAGTTAATCAGAATAAACGAAAATTATGTACATAGAAAAGTGTTTCGAAAGTATGCATTAAGTTCGAAAATTCAAGACATATTTTTTCGTCTGAACAAAATTCGGTAAAATAAAATCTATAAACAATAGCTTTTCAATTATTATAAATATATCTAGAAACAAAGATATTCTCTCCAAAAATAGGAATCATTCATGCTGTTTTGTAGAAATATCCTGGCCTTTTGATTGTAAATGTCAAAAGTCCGAATATTCATACATTATTCATATACTCTTAGTTATTAGTTTTACAAATTTCGTGGTGAGAGTAACGCGAATGTGATTTATCGAAACTGCGTGAATCATGAATATGAATAGAAAATCTGAGCGCCTTTCGTATTCGTGTTGTTATAGGTAATTGAAACGTGTCGTTGCAAAACGCGAACACAATTGCGTGTACGGAGCGGCGAACGGATAAGATCGCTTTTCTCGGGCAGCGGAACAGACGAAGAAGTCCATTTCGCGAGATGTAATCCGGTTTCGTGCTCTAAAAAATATAATAACGAGGTCGACTTCACGCGACATCGACGATACCAAAAAACCTCCCTTTGTCCTTTCGACGCGCGCGTTAAAGAAAACCGCGGATGTGCGTGCGTGCGTGCGTTGCATGTGATCCGCTCCGTGTTACGTTCATTCCCTCCACATGTCAGGATAATTATATAAACGTGTATCATATACATATTTAATTGTAAGACATAACGACGTCCGGTAGCTGTGTACTGAGTGTCTCGGAAATCATGTACTTTCTCTTCTTTTTTTTTTTTTTGCAGAAGACCGTGCGACTTCTCTCAAGAAATGTGCGACTTCGGGTACACTCTGTATGTTCTTCAATTTCATACAATTATCTCGTAATATTTGTGAGAGAGAGAGAGAGAGAGAGAGAGAGAGAGAGAAATGGAATTGAAATTTATAGTTTTTCGATATTTGCCTTAACAGAAGCATCGAAACGCCAATATTTTCCGTTAAAAATTAAGAAGTTCGCGGATTGAAATTTTTAGCCAAACGAATAACAAAGAACAAAGCCTTGTTTTAAGGACATTTCCATACAAATTGGACTTTACTTATAACCAGAGAATTTTAATTATAATAATAAAAAAATATCCGTAGAGAATATTTTAAAATCTTGAAAGAAGATTGCATTGAACTAACAATTCAGTTAAAAACAAATTTCTTTCGGATTAATCGGAACATGTGTGCTACACGATTTATGATCATATGGTACGGAGTTAATAACCGCGAGCTGATGTAAAGAAATTCGCATTGCATTCTCGAGAAAGACCTCCCACAAAAGCCAAGGCGGATCTCCGCCTTCAACGTCATATCCATGATGGACAAGTACCTTCGCGTATTTGACGTCTCTTTATGGGCTGCGGCGCGCCGGTGCGTCTTCTCCTCGCGTAGGTATGAACCGGCACGATTAATCTCGGTCGCGGAATGAGGAAGCCCCCCTGCGCGTTGCCAGGTGGCGGCTGGCTCGTCTCGGGGGGGCACGACTCGCTGTCGGTGGTGCCGGTGCTGCTGGATCCCCTGGACCGCGCGTCGTCCTCCCTCGCCGAGGACGCCGTCCCGTTGCTCGGGTCCTCCGGCGTCGCCTCGAATCGCGACACCACCACGTCGGAGTAGGATCGCCTGTACGGCTCGTCGTCCTGTTGCCTGGCGGAAATTTTGCCGCTGCCATTGCTGGCCCAGTTGACCCCGCACTCGCGCCAGCTGGCCTCGTAGAGCAGCTCCATTGCGCGGCCGCGCGTCGCGTCCGGGTCCAGGAGAAGCTCGGGGTCCTCCAGCACCGCCCGGCCGGGATAACTTCGGACCTTCATGACCTCGAAAGTCGCGTGCGAGCGGAAAGCGGAGATCGAGAAACCGAGTCGAGAGGGGAGAGGGGAGAGCCGGGCCGCTCCGCTCTACACGGCCTCTACTCGCACGACAAGACTTTCGCTCGTGATTTTTTTTTTTTTCGAACCTCTCGAACTCCGGAGTCCTACTGCGCAAAGGTCAAAAGTCGAGCGTCGCGTGGCGACAGCGCCGGCGTCGCTTTCATCCGGTGAGACAAGACTAATAGCGTTTCTGCAGGTAGGTTCTTGGTTCTTCTGCAGATCTAGTCCTTCCACGTGCAGGGCCGAGATTCAGTGAAATCCAGTCTACGTTTATTTCCGATTTTCGTTAGATGCTGATTACACATCGATCCTCGTGCACAAACGGAGTATCAGTCGTCAAAGCGATTCACGGAGATGTGAATTTCAAATTCACAGATCCTATTCATTAATGTTCGGGATGCGAACGTTGCAGTTGAAATAACCGAGAGGCATCGCGGCACGAGTCTGGCATCGGTCCAGGAACAAAAGATCGACGACGCCGCGCGAAAAAAAAAATCCACCTCGGACTTTCGCATCGATCATCAGGTTCGAGAGCCGACCGGCTGACTTCCTGTCCGTCCCGATATTTATGTGGTTTACTATTCCGTTACGACGAAAGTAGGCGGACAGACGGGCGACAAGACCAAGAAGCAGCAAGTTCGACGGACATTGACGTCGGATCCGCGTATTCACGACCGTTCATTCGCGACTTCCGCCATCCGGCCGTCCGTCATTGGCGAACCGGCGCGCTACGGAACATCGGCGCGCTGCGGGAAACCCGAGTCATCACCGGACTGCCGATGTTCTCGGCCTGAAGAACCCGTCGAGTCCTCGGACAGGATGCACTTTTGTCACTTTCGCGTAATCTTCGCGTGAAGTATAAGATCCTTTGTCTACACGCGAAATCGACTAAATTTCCATATTTACTTGCGAAAATATCAAGCGAACCGATAGCAAAATCGTTTTTTCCGCACTCGCGTTTCGATCTTGCGACTTGGATCTGGACTTTCGACATAGACAATCGATAAACGGTGATAAACAGCGTTAAACGACGTCACGTCGCCGTCGCACGTAACGCTGCTTTTGAAAACAATGCCGAAGAGGAGTCCTGTCAAACGAGGACAACGCGATCGCGAATCGCGTCGCGTCTGACGCTCACTGACAGTATTCGCGACTGGTGAAAAGTATGCCCGTGAGCGGCAAGCAGCACCACGAGAAACTCCCTTCCCTCGGCGAACCGCGGGAGTCCGAGTCCCCACCATGGATGTACGCTCGTGAGAGAAAGGACAGAGGTTCTCATCTTTCGCTATTTCTCGCCCCCGCAACCGCTCCCACGTATGAGTGCAACGGCACTTTTTTTTCTGCGGTCGCGAAGATCCGGGACTCGGAAATTATAAGGAGGCCCCGCTAACTTCATTAGCAGAAAAAGAGGTGTAATAAAGCCGATGAAGATAAATGTAATTTCTGGTGTAAATGTAAAAGGGTACAGAGGAACAATTTGTAATCCAATTTGTATCTAATATGTACAAATATATTAAGTAAAGTAGTATATACTAAAGTATATACAATATATTAAGTGAAAAAATATTTATAATGTATAAAAATAAATTTTTGTATATCTACACATATGTTTGTACACATTATACAAAAATTATTACATTTAATCAATTTAATGCTTCATCTTTATAATGCATTTCGTAATGATTTGACATCTTTTGACAATCTATGTCTTTAAAAAATTCTCAAGCAAGTTAAAGTTGTAGCTCTAGATATTTAAATATATACTATTAAATATATGCTTATATATTTAAATTCGTAACACAAAGCACGTCTGCATTTTTCTGAAGCATCATAATACAAATCATAATACAAATGACTGATAAATTCCCCCTTCATTCGTGATAATCATGATATAATACGCATGATGTATGTGTGTGTGTATATATATATATACGTGGAGAACATTCGCCATTAATTACGTAACTGTAGCGACACGGATGAGTGATAATACTAATGATCGGATCAGTTGAGAAAGAGAGAGAAAAGTGACAAGCATCGCATTTTTACGTGAAAGTAAAACGCGACACGTCACACTCATTACGAAATGGCAATCGGCACGATGCCTTTGTCTGACAGAAATCGAATTCCGGAAGAAAGAGAACTGCGTCGAGGAGGAGGGAGTAACCGCGCTTTTACATAAATTCAATTTCGTGTCGATATCCCACGGATCGTTTCTACCGTAGGGATCAATTAACATTTAAATGTCTGCATTTGCATTTGCTATAGTTTGTGTATCGCGGAAGACCCGCCTAGTGCACGAATACCTAAATTTGATATGTTCAAAATAGGGAAGGAAATATCTATTATATAGAATTATAATATATTCAATCAGATATTATATCATATTAGAATCTGAGTTAGATTGGTGCTCAAGGATATAATATGTTAAATGTGAATTAATGTATAACAATTTTTTTTCGTATAAGTTGCGATTAAGATTAGCAAATCATTCATACAGCAAAATCTCTCTTAATTTTAAATACAGTTATATATTTAATTGCGTTATCTTTCCAATAGGAGATGCAGACGATGCGCTGGATTTCCAAAAAAAAAAGTGCTTACGTAAGAATTATTTGCAGAAAGATTATATGTATTTATAGAAAGGCCTGAGAAAGTTTAAACCATGATGGATATGTAATTTTCTCAGTTAATAACGCGTTCGTATTAATAAATAACTGACTGAATGATTTTACTGTGACACAAAGTTAAGGTCGATGATAAGCGTCTGTTTGATATGCGCGTAAATCATTTTTGCGGTTCTTTTCCGTATATAGCAGTTAAGCTCACGCAATCGTATTTGTGGCAATCTCTTGAGCATCGTGCGTTTGCGTCTGAATTTACGTAAATACGTAATAATTTCAACACACAGACGGTACTAAAAAGTCGAAATAAAATAAATTTAACTGAATTTAATAAGAAATAGGAAAATACGTAAGAGAATCAAATAAGAAACATCGATTTCTGTATTTCCGCTTCCGAAAGTTGCAAAATTGTTTCGCGGAATGCAATTATATTTTTTTTCTTATGTAAAAAACACATATGAAGTATATTTACATAACCATTACATTATCTGCATTCGCTGTTAATTGCTCGAGCATTATTTACGCTCATCATCAACCGTCTAATAGGAAAATGATTGAGACTATCTCTCTTGAAACTACTTTTGTTTTTGTTTGGCTTTCGGATGTCTCGGCGCGGAGAAACGTAAAATAAATAAATGTGGATCTTATTTTCATGTGATTGCGAAACTTACTTGGAAACAATTTTCTATGTTTTATAGTTAGCATAATTAAATATTTAATTAGTTCGAAAAAGTCATTCCACGATCTACATTAACGTAAATAAAAAATAAGTGTTTATATTGAGTTACATCCTATGACATAAAAGTTCATCGAACTCAGACAGATAATTACGATCGCTTCCGCGTAAGATAAACGAAGTTGAGAAATCACTTAGTATCATTGCTCGAACTTAAGTGCATAAACGTTTGACTTTTCTATTTTTATGTACGTAAGAAAATATATGTCAAGAAATCCAATTGTTTAGACAAGTATATCATATGCAGTTATTATGACAAGTATATCATATACAGTTATTAGGTTTCTCATACTTTTGAGCAAAAAAGTTGATTTTCCTTTATTTTGCATATCTTCAATATAAGTAAATGGAAATCAGGTTTCTAAAATATTCACACAAATAGCAAAGATATAAAAGAATTTGTAAAACGTCAGGGTAGAACAGCCACTCTGGCTAAAAATACAATACAATAATTCTTCTCAGAAAGATCTGTTGGGTTCTTTTGTCGATATATGCCCATATTATCAATTGTAACTATGCAGGAAAGAAAAAAAAATGGTGAAAGTGTTTTCCGTGCGGGATATCCTGGAACTTGGGGAACAAACGTATAGCGGATAACCGACAGGCGCGAAATTTGCATTGGTATTTCACATGAAAAAGCGCCGCAATATGCAAACAATATGATAAGAATAAAAATTAGTTTGCGGGCGAAAGTTTTCTTCGAACATCGCGGATGTAATACGCGTTGCGATTGCGGAAAAACGGTCACGTATGAGAGAAAATTGACTTGTAAAAAGAAAGCTTACAATCAGTAAAGAAATCAAATGGATTATTATAATATATATGGTCCCGATTAAACCCATAAAATAAATAAATTCCTAAGGATCTTTTTTTCATAATTACAAAACGTAATTGCAAAATTTGCTTGGAACAATTTTCTATGTTTTATATTCTCGGTTTTAAATTTTCAATTCGCAATTTATATTAAGATACGTTAAAAATAAGAGTGTCTCTTATACTTTTATCCTATAATAAAAGCTTATTGGATTCGAACAGAGGAAATATAATCTTTACACTTCCTTTATACGTACTTGGAACTTTCGCGATTTTCGCGAAAACAGTTGATACTTATTCTATGTTTTTATCGTGATATTGTATACAATCTATTTATTGTTTAATTTAAGGCAGCAATTCTCGTGACGTCTTACGAATTTTCTCGATGGAACTATCAAATTTCATGAAGATGCGATGTGTCTTTACTTACCCTCCATGACGAAGACAGTAGAGCCAACATCTCCCTCTTGTATAATTATCGAACCAGCTGGAAATGTAACAGGATACATGCAATCGACAATCTCCCGGATCTGCGTGAGTTCCAAATTTTTCATGAAGTCGTTGTCCAGTATGGCAGTCTTGATCAGCTCGCGAGATCTGAAAAAAAAAAAAAAAACAATCATTGTTAAGATTTTCTTTTTCTCTCTCTCTCTTGTATTGAAAAAAATAATATTTCTATAGAAAAACGAGAGTAAATAAATACAATATTAAAATATAATATTAAATGTTAAATAATTTCAAAAATAATAATTAAAAATAATTTCTTTTAATCGCAGATTCTTTAACAAATTTAAAAAAATCTTCGGACGCAAAATCTTACAAAATTATAATAACATAGCATTAAAATATTAATTAATTTCTAAAGTGTATTACTAGAAATAGCATGATTTTAATTTGAAAATATAAATTAGTATTAAGAAGTATAATATGTACTGAAATTGATATCTTCGAATATGTACTTTCATTAAATTCTGCTTGCGGTCGAATGTAGAGAGAATCATTCATGCGTATACACATAATTAGTTACCGCTCTCAGCAAAAAACATTAATTGAATTTATATCCTACTTCCGTTATATAATTATATGATATATGTTTTCAATTGCCGATTATATGTATATATTACATTGCTCGTGTTGTAAAAATCCATTCCAATAAAACAATTATCTGTTTACGATGAATTACAGGAACGATTCTCTTAGAACAGAATCTATATTACATATAGAGTCTTGACGAAAGATGGTCTTATGTTTTATTTAATTTCATTATTTTTATAAACTATATAATATGTATATAAATATCTCATTTATATTTCAACAATCGTACGTGTTTACAGTAAACATTTTCTATTAAATACATATTATCAACATACGAATATAAAATCGGCTGCTGCCGGATGTCAGAATTTATAGATATGCGATAATGAAAACGACTGCAAGAAAGAGCGCGAACGCATTCCTTGTCAGGGGAAACCGGGATGTTTGATGAATAAGAAAGATGTCAATGCGACGTCCAAGGTACTCGCCGATCTACCTTTGCGGCTTGGTGAACTTCACCACCGGTTTCGTGTCGCCTCTGAGAGGTTCCGCCGATATGGCTTGCCGCTTCAGTCTCTGATTGGAATCGATGGCGTTGGACGCCAGGTTCAGATCGACGATCTGCCGGAACTTATCGATCTCATTCTGGAGGTAACGGATCGTGGCGTCGCGCTCCTCGAGCGCCTTTTCGAGCACCTCGACGATCTCGTCGCGACGTCGCAACGCCTCCGTACGCTCGTACAGCAATCGCTTCAGGTCCCGTATCGAATCCATTCCCTTTGCTCTCCGCCGTACGAAAAAGAATTCGCGAGCAGCACTCTTTCCCCCCGTCAAGCAATGCCGCGCGCGATCCCGCGAGTCATACACTCCGAAAATGTCACGCTGCACTTTTCGTATCCTTCGACGGACCTTTACAAGCGCGAGAACAAACGCGTGAATGCGTGTGAGTGTGATCGAAAGCTATACGTAAAAGTTCAAATGTATATCTACAGATATGTCCGATTTTCTATCTCCATTGACCCTTGAATATTATAACAGAATTGACAACGCTTTTGTCAATATCGATCTATGTCTGTAATTTAATTAATCTCCATGAATTTAAGATTGATTTTTGAAATTTCGATATAATTAAGAAATATTTTTGGTTCTAATTCTTCAAAAAGTTCTAGAGTATTCACTTAAAAAATAATTCTAACGATTAAGTGTAAAAAATTAAGGTCATGAAGACATATAGAATGCCAACTTTAAAGTTTAAACACACGTTTTCATCATATAATTACGTTTCTATTTCAATTAGAATTAATTTAAGCTATTGATTAAAAAATTACCCTGTCTGGAGATGCGACCTAGATTTCTTGAAAAAATGCCACATTAAAAAAAAGTTTATATTTTAAGATAAAAATTTTTTTTAATTTCGACAATTTCTCTACGTTAACACAATTTAGGTATCCTATAAAAATGTTAATAGTTCAGATATGTCGTAGAATTGCAGATGCAATCGAACGTCGACTGGACACGATTCCAAAAGCTAGTAAGATATATTTATTTTCTCGGTAATAAGCCAAAGTTAGAAGCACATCGGTTACATAAGACGTTAGACACGAACGAATCCTCATGAATAACATAACAAAAAGTATGCCGTAGAAAACTTTCTGGAGAGCATAGCGATTGCTAATATCATCTCGAGAAACAAGTCCATGTATAATTACACATTGCTATAAGATTTACTAATCGCGCTTGCACGTGAGGCACTTTACAATAAAATCACGATTGCGATAGAATGCGTAACATGAGAATATTTGTACAGTGTATAGAAACTTTTATATCTTGGATAATCATTCGATAATATGTTGTCAAGGATTTGTCGGTTGCTATATTTAACTAACACGTTTGTAATTCTGATTGAGACATGACGGAGATATTATCTTCAGCACTTTCCGCGTGAACGTTTTCTTATGTATTTACTCATATCACGTATTTATTACATAATCAGAGAAAACAATAAAAAAGTATATAAAAGTATTATTTATGTATTAATATATATAAATAAGGTAATAAAAACGCAAAAGGAACGAATTAATAAATTTTTTAATTAATTCGTTCTTTTTGCATTTTTATTACCTTATTTATATATTAATACATAAATAATACTTTTATTTATGTATTGAATTAGGCATAAATTGAACCAAAAATTAATAAATGTTGCAGATTGTACAGTTAACATACACAATTAAATATTTTATATTTCAGTTTACATGTTATACCAATCGAGTTGATAATTGAGCATACAAAGAATTATCATTAAAATAGATAACTAATTATAACAGATAAAGCAATAAGAATGAACGGAGTTAATATTCATCACCGCTTCAATCAAGACAATCTATATTACTGACGTCCAAAAATGACGAGTATTATTTCACTCGTGTGTATCACGATTGTTTTTTCTTCCTCGTTGTTGAATTATTATCGAAACACATGGCGCACGAGCAAAGCTAGAGCGTCAAAACATGTCACTACGGAAAATGAGACACGTATACACCAGATAATCCTGGTTTATTAAACACGCCAATACGCGAAGAATCGCCGCCGACTCTTCCAGACTTTATTAAGCGTTGCTCAATTTGGAGCACGGACTACCAGTACCTCGTTCAATCTGTCTTAATCAAGTCGTCGATCTACAGCATCGCACGACACTCAAAGAGCAATCAGTATTAACTCACTCGCGTGTCTCACGATCGCCTATTACATCAACTTGAATTGAAAACTAAATAAATCATTAAAAAGAAATATGATGATTAAACCGACACTAAAAAAAAACTTTGTACTACTTGTGCGCTGCACAAGTAGTACAAAGAACCTGCTAGACACTGAAATGAACTGAAATCCTGTTGACATCTCGATTAAACCGCGAACTTTTCCAATTAGGTATAAACTAAACTTCATACTTCAAGTCTTTCAATAGCATCACATGACAAACTCGGCGCAGAAACGGTTCTATTGCACTACAAAAGTGAAGAATTGGGATAAGGTAAAGAGCTGCGGATCGACGTATTAATTAACTTCCTCGATTAGAAGATCGTTTTCTTTTACAGGATCCATAAACGCTAATTGAACTCTAACTTTAACCGTTGCTTATGAGAGAAATTTATAAAAAAAATCGCGATTCTCTAACGGTACACCATTGACCCCTGTTGGCTTTGGCGTTAAACAGGAACCTCGGTATATAATTTCGCTGAGTTCAATTTTCTATCGCATAAGACTATCGCGAAAAAGAGAAAAAAAAAGAGTGAGAAGGAGCGAGAGAGGAGAGAGGATTTTATGCCGAATATCGGATTTCCTTTTGCCGCGAAGAATAAAGAGATTGTCGCGCGTTTACGACATCGAAATTTGAACTCAGAGATTAATTACCGAGATTTCAATTCGATATTAGTGCCGCGTTGAAACTTGCGATCGAATTAGCGATTTACGCGGACGTGATCGTGCGTGAATGGATCTCCCGAAAAGACGGCCTGTCGCTTCCCGAAGTGACACAATCGAACTGATGGATCGGTAGGCGCGAGGAGGACGCGTATACACGCACGCACGTAGCGTGCAACCGAAGTATAATATACCGAGCCGCTCCGGGTTCGCGTGTTAGACCACGGGGCGGCAACGACTAACGATCTTGTAGTACGCGCACCAGCTATTTTTACGTTTTAATCGCGACTCTCGCGGCTTCCTCCAAATGCTAGCTCGTTCTCCCGCCGTCGCCGTTGTCGTCGTCGTCGTCGCCGTCGTCGTCGTCGCCGCGCCCGCGAGGTCGTCTCGACAGCCAATTAAAAAAAAAAATGGTCTCTCCTTTCACTCGATCATTTTGGCGCTCCGATTCGGAGCCGCCCCTGGCTGATTACCGCTACGTATATATATGTACGTGCTGATCTATCCCACGAAATACGTGCGCTCGCGACTGTTGCGCGCTGACAATGGCGTAGAAGAGGATTGATGAGATGATTCGAAAGTTTATTTATATATTTTTTTATTTACACAAGATTCGGAAAAGAGAGAGATCCCTCGCGATTCCTACACGGAGAGAATTTTATTTTAAAATTTACCCTGAAAATCATGTTAATTATAGGACAATATAGTATTTCGACGAATTTTATGTGATTTTCACTATTTTTTTAAATATATACTATAACAAATTTATTGTAGTGCACAGTAAAATTTGCCGAAATACTATATTGTCCCTCGATTAACATGATTTTCAGGGTTTTTAAAAGGAAATTCTCTCCGTGTATTGTTGTAATAAAAATCGTTACTGATTTTTTACAAAATAGTCCAAAATTCAGGATATATGTTTTCTTAATCACTGACAATAAGAAAAAATGTTCTTATTATACTAACAATATTGTAAAAGGATGATTGGAAAATTAAATGTGAGTAAAACGCGAGGTGGTAATGGTAACCCGTTTTGAGAATCTATCTTGCTGGTATAAAAAAATAAGAATTTTTTTCTTATGGAATTATCTTGATGGATTCCCCAAATGGGTTACATATCATTGTCATCTCGCGCTTTACTCACAACATTTACAATTTTCCAATCATTCTTTTATAAAACTGGAGCATATGGGATAACAGTCGAGATTGAACCTGGAATCCATCGCACAGATCGCTCTCACACGAAACCTCGCGTATTTATGTCATTTACGAGTAACTTGAAAATTCACTTCTATATAAAAAGTGTAAATTTTATGACATGAATTAATTTTACCGTTTAACGCAACATTAATTAAATTAGTGTCCTAAATTAAATTAATTACCTAATTAAATTAGGTAACATTTATTCCATTATTTCGCGTTCCGTGTATCACAATGAAATTGGATAAAAATATCAGATAAAGAAGAGATTCGAGATAAGATAATTTTGATTCTCTAGAAAAATGTAAAAATTCTTTATGTATAAAAAGTGTCTATAAAAAAATTAATTTTTCCAAGGCTCAAATTAACTTTGGCAAATAAAGTCAAGCGTTCACTCGCTACGCCACTGGTTGCGCGTGTACGCTTTGTCAGTCTACTCTTTGCGTTGGCGAATGCCTCCAGCGATTTATGCCTCGTACCCGATGCGCCCTACATACAAAACCGGCCTTTAGCCGGTTGCGGCCCTGTGACGGCTTCCTTGACTTTGGCACGTTGTAACCACCAAGAGAAAAGGAGCCACTTTTTCTCTCTGTCCCTCTCGCTGTGACACGACGAACGAGGAAAAACGCTCAGGTAACTCTATACGTGGCACGTGTCGCTATTGACTGACGCTTTTCATCTATCGCTAATTTACAAACTACTCAGTCTAGGTTTATCGTCGAAGATGCGAATAAATCTTGTGTGTACTATGGGACGGAGCAGGTAGCACAATTGTTTCCCTAATGAGCTTCCGCCTTCCATTAATCGTCAATCCCGTAAATCTTGTGAATAAAAAATCGATGACGATATACATCCAGATATATCATCATGGAATTATGAAAATCGCACGTAACGATTTTACGTAATCTACTTGAATACTCGCATTCGCACGCCACGTGCCGCATAAGTCATGTATTATGTTATTGCATATATGTTGAATAACAAAAAAAATATGTATTTTTATTGCTCGCGAACGTAGTAAAATGTTGGAAGAAAATCACTGACGGCAAATTACTTTTCACTTTCACTTTTGCTAACCAGAAGATTTTACGTTTTGAAATATTCTGTTTGTCTCTAACGTTAAACATTTCATATAAGAATAGCGCACAAATGCTAAAATAAAAGGAAAAAAAGTTAATGTAGACGTTTAAAAAATAACTCCTGCGCTAATATAATGTCTCCGCCGTTAAAACTCTATCGCTATCGACGCGTTAAAACGGTTAAAATTACTAATTTAAGATTTTATTATTTTTTAAAAGACTGACTTCACTGGAAACTCGTGTAATCAGTCAAGGCAGTGACAAGCGCGAATTCTTATGTCATTCCAGATAACAAGTATGTTAATAAAGACGCGTGTGTGTAATCGGTTAGTTGCATTTATAATTAAAATCGCTATTCAGTTTAAAAATCAGAATGCAATAAAATAAGAAAGTGATAGGCTAAAAATCCCTGTTTAGATTCATCGTCGTAAAACACAAACGAAAATTCACGTCCATTAAATTGGTAATTAATCACACGATGAATGTATTAGATTCAAACACCTGGTTAGTGCATGACGTTAAAAAAAAAATCGTTATTATTGAATAGAAGAGAATAAAAATAAAAAAAATAAACTTCGAACGTTCTATCTTAAGCGACTCGGCTATTGAGCAACGTAATTAACCGAGACAGTGACAAGCGCGAATTATTAGTATCTTCGACGCGTATTCCTTCACGAGGATACACGTTTGCGATTAAAGAGACCTTGTCTAGCTTTCGACAGCGTATCTATAATTGAGGATGCATAATGCCCGTTTCGCACGATGCACAGTCGAGCAGCTGCCTATAGAAAAAAACGATGATACATGTATATTCCATGAATATTTTATAGATTTTAAATTCTCAATCTCTCTCGGAGCAAGATACAATGCGCAAAATTAAAACAAATCGGATGAAAATCCGCGAGAGCGTCCTCTCGCGAGGTAGCATAGATCGCACAAAAGGGGCTTAAGCCTCTTATACGGGAATCGAGCCTATTATCGGATACCTGAATTATTTAAGTCGCGTACACCGAATCCTTCGCGCGTATCTATTTCGCAATCGTTATTCTACGTTATACTCTGTCTATGCAAAATCCTTAGGTAGGACGTATAACCGGTACTCACGTAACCACTCGGAATCATCATCATGCGAGATTTTACGATAATAAGAGTGCTTCGTACGAGACATGTTTACTTACGACAGATAAGTGTACTGTCCTATATACTGTCCGTCATTAAGCATCTCTATAAATAGAATTTATATTTTTACACATAAAGAAGTTGGTAAAAATAGACTCGTATTTCAAAATACGTGATGCAAGACAAATGTAAATACTCTTAGAATTAAATAAAAGATAATATTAAAACAAATTGTATGTATGCGCATATCTAATATAGACGGGAATTCTACACGTCTGAAAATTTTACAATCTGAAAGATTTGCGGCAAGATTGAAGCGGATACTAATAAGCGAGAAAAGGAGTTTAATAAACGGAGAAAGACGCTCCAGGAGATGACTTCAGAGAACACGCTCCATCAGTCATTCTGAACTGTTGTACATCAGAATTGATAGCGATAGATAAAATAATCCACATGCGATAACACGGTAAGCGCATTTCTAATATAAATAGGTGCAAATTGTACGACGATTGAAATTCGTATTTGTCTACTGATAACAGCGACTATACAAGCGCGACACGAAAACAAATGCGCTGCTCCGTAACGAGATACTACATAAGTAATATTTACGGAGCACTCAGCACAACGTATATATATATGCATATGTTTATTGAACGTCGCACGTGAATAAAACGTGCGTGGGATGAGAAGAAGGTTTACACGAAGGAGCGCCGAGATCGTATAAAGGGAACAGGTGCTATGATCCGCAGCCGGTTCGTTAGCGTGATATATAACAGAGAGTGGAATACTATGTGTTGCGGCGTTTCGGGCCGTGGCTGCCCAGATGCGAATTCCGCGATGATTCTCGCGGAATGCCAGACCAATCTCAATTGTTGGGAGCATCAGCCAATATGGTCTCTATATAGCCGATCTCAAACGGTTCGCGTGAAAACGCTCGGGCTCGGGAACGACCAGAAAGACGTGTCGGCCAATTTACATCGTCGAGTCCTCGCAAGTGGATCGGTATAAAACGCGTAGTTCTCTGAAGTGAGAATTTTTAATCCTCTTTATATTTCACAAATCAAGCTACTACGTTCACTTTCTCACACGAGAAATAAAATACCAAGTTTTAATCTCAATGTTAATTATATCAAAGTTAAAATTTGGCATTGTATATATATTATATACAATGCCAAATTTTATATGTAATTATATATAAAAAAAATAATAAACGTTCTAGAATAAAATTTACTCGATATTTCTCAGGTGTATCCATTGGAAAAGTTTCTCTTCTAAGATATGTCTATTATTTTTTTCCGAACTCATCACAATGATTAAGCGGATACGTCTGATCGCTTCAATTACAGCGAGTATGTGTCTCGACGAATATTCATTCCGACAAGCTCACACGAAGTTCACACACAAAAGAAACTTTCTAAACGCAAAAAAAAAAGAAAAGAAAGCTATACGATGTAAACCGTACAAAAACTGGTCACTTTAGTCGCGGTCTAAGCGTAGCCGAGGTTGAAACCACTCGCACACGCGTCATATCCGTTTAGGGGCAAGAGCCCGCGGCAGGACCGCGGATATTGAATAAACCGTCGTCGTCGGAGAGAGCGTCGTCCGATTTCCGGATGTAACTGGAGGAGACGTACGTCCGAAGCGCGCGAGGATCGCGTCGAGTGCGTCGACTGTAAATCAAGGCACGGACTGCACGTCAAATCAACTGCGCTCTCCCGTGATTAAAGCGCTATCGAATAAACTCATCGATAAGACGGGTCGAGTAACGAAAGCATTGGTTATTTTTGTAGCCACGACGATACGCCACTGATAACCGTAAATACCGCGTTTACGCAAGGTCCCGACTCCATTGCCTGACTCAGAGAGTTCGATGCTCCCGGGTAGCTTAGGGTATCGCTCGATCCTTCGACGATCAGTCGGCGCTATTGTGACGTAGAAGGAATTCATCAACGCAGTTTATTATGCGTTTTATGTACATATTTATTACATGCTTATTTTATACGTTTTTTAATTATATTTAAATCTATCTTCTTTAATTCTTGTTTTTAAATGCGAGTTAACAATTAAAATTTATCTTATAGGAAGATTATGAAGAATAGGTATTTATCGTCCTATTGTCGGATATATAATTTTTTCTTTTTTTTTTTTTTTTTTCAAAATTCCATGTTGATAAAAATATAATATTTCTACTGCAGCCTTTTTTTAACAAGAGGCATCACGACTATAAATAAAATATGCATGTATATGTACGCAGTCTTGATTCCCAGTTGCATTCGTTCTTTCCCTTCATTTGCTGCTCTTTTTTTTCTTTAATTAATTGCATCCCAGGGTGATACCGTAATCGTTTCTTGATGAATACAAAAATTTCTTATTTAGATATATCATTATCTAAAGTCTTGTGGTTTTTCCTCTTTCTTATCTCTCCCTAGAGAAGCATTACTCTGGGGGACGTACCGACCGAGTCGCGACGGAGGGCAGTTGCTCGAGGAACAGGTGGATCGGCAGCGGAAGAATCGTGCGGACGAAATGCCGTTTCGAGGAGGCGCCACCAGCCGAGAACGCGGTTCTCGGCGTTCTCGCTCGCTCGCTCGCTCGTTCACGGAGGCGCTAATTCGCCCGTTCGTTTCTCGGCCGTTCGCTCGCTCGCTCGCTCGCTCGCTCGTCGCCCTCGCGCGCGCCGCTCAGCTTTTTAAAATGTCGCCGATGGCCGTGACAGGATCTATTTTTAACCGCGCGTCGAGATAAGCGCGCGCGGGAGGGACGGTGGGTAAAGAGCCGAGAATGAAAAGAGGGAGGGAGTGAGAAAGAGGAGGAGGAGGGCGAGGGACGGGGGATGGGGAGGGGAAAAGAGGGGAGGCGAGAGCAAACTCGCAGTGTCAGTAGCGTAATCAGTACGACGATTTGACGGCGCTATATGTAACACCTGTTTAATTAATACGTTCTTTTTTTTTCGAGACGTAAGATTTGAAAGGTAAATCACCGTTTCGCGCAAGACTAAATTGTGCAACTACGCAAATTGTACGACGAACTCGAGGCTGAAAACTATACTTGCAGCCGTGTGTGCAACATCGTTTCTTGGCACGTGATCTGTATTACGACCTGTTTATTCATTCCGAGGAATGCGCGTTCGAAGGACAAAATTTTCTATCAGTAGTCTCTTAGATTTCCCCGCTCGTTTCCCCGAATTTCCTCTGGCATGAAATGCCATATTTTTGTCAGAATCTCAGTTGAATTATATAAATCATTGTAATAAAAAAATTAATAAATGTATAAATATATTATTTATTAATTTTCTCCGCAAAAATTTGTTTCAAAGTAAATTATTAAATTTGAAAAACATCTTAGATTTTACGGCATCGTGATTTTGCATAAAACATTTAGTTGGTTTAGTTGAAAAGTGACTCATAGACTCGAGAGACGATGTCTCAACATTATATACATTCTATGTTGCATTTCGACCCAATATTTGCTATTTCTAACTATAGTTTCTATACCGGAAATAGATCGTAGAAAAATTTACTCTAAAACAAAAAAGTAACACCGCGGAGTAGTTATAGTTTCTTATAAACGTATCTCACGTGTTATATGCCTAAAATAACATTATGCGTCCCGACACCCAAAAGTGCATCGTGCCCGTTACACCACTGATGGAGACCGACGAATTCGTCGTGCCAGGCCAGAGGCACCATAGAAGAGAAAGAGAGTGAATCAAAGAAGTAATTATACGTGACGTCACCCGACTGGTTTCAACACCCGTTCGGAGTGCAACGAGTCGAGTCGAGTCGAGTCCGGGTAAAAGCAAGTGGGCCAGAGGGCCTCTCCTACTCTCCGTTGCAATTATAACAGCCCGCGGAGATATGCGTATGGAAGAAATGCAGCATCTCCTTACCGCCGTCCGGTCCACGAATGGGAGGAGACGAAAATAGCACCTCCCCAAACTTTATGACCGGTAAAATCATCGGAGCGTCAGTGCCGATACGGTCTACGGCCACTTAAAGCGGCCTAACGGCCGCGTTAACCACCAATAATCCCGACAGCGAAGTAGGAAATTAAATAAACCTTCTCTAATTATTAATCAGAGAACGCGGCGAGGCTGATGCTGGACGGTCGTCAAGTCGCGCCGAGTCGCGAAACGTTCGCTGCGCGCGCGTTTGCATTTTTCTTTATCGAGAGATAATTAAGGCTCATTGAATATACATATCAATAAATGCGCACGTATATATTAATAAGTACGTTTACCCGTACTTATGACCTATGTTTGTATCATTGTAGCCCGTGAAAGATTTGTTTTCAGTTTTCGGATTTGCCGCCAGATATGGCTTAGAATTACGTTATAGAAAATACAAACATGATCTTTAATAAATTTCGAAATCTTATATTTTTTTTACATAAATCTTTAATGGATAAGCAGACAAAAATTAAGAATTGATAGATAAAATTGCTTGAGTTTTATAGATATTAATATCTTTATATGTGCTATATATGCTTTAATTTGTGTATCATATTATATATTACAGCTGGATTATAAATAAGCTTAATTTTTTTCTGACGGAAAATTGCTTTGTATATTTATAATCAAAATAATATTTTATTTGCGATTTAACCGTAAGACTGCATGTGTCATACGTAGTAAATACATAGTTATATTATGCACGTTCCAAAACGCGATTACAGTGAGGAAACCGCAATGTCGGTCTAGTTGACAACCTTTCTCTCGTTATATAAATAGGTCATAAACACGATAATGCACGAGCAAGAAAAAGAATTACCTTGTGGTTAAAATAATCTTAATGCACAGGAAGATAACATAAAACAATATTGTCTGAGGACATTAATATGTATTCGTTGAATTCTCCAAGCAAAATCTGCCAACAATTATACACACAGAATTGAAAATATATAATAGATACAAAGATTATCAGAGATTTTTTACAATTTAATCTAATTCGTAAGTCAGAAAAAAACAGTGTAAAATAAATAGAATAAATATCTATATGTATATATATATGCATGCAAAAAATAAAAACCCAATTTAAAAATATAAATATTCAAGAGACATAAACGACGAAAACCATCCGAATGCAGAATAAATTCACGCAGTAATTCAAGACATCGCTTCCTGATAAAAGATGAAACCCTCCTGTACAGGAGGGTCTCGTAATTACAGACCTCGTATCGTAATACGCGCGGTCAAAGTCGCGTCTCCCCGCATCACACGATGATACGAGCCTCGACGAAGGCCCGATCTCGGCATTTTCATGTGGAAGCTAAAGTATTCACGAGCCGCGCGAACGGACCCCGCTAAGCCGTGACGAGAAGCTATTTTCAGGCCCATTGGCATTATCGGCCGCCTCAGGAGCGAGATCCGGCGTGCGGTCGGGCAAGGATAACGGCCCCCAGACGGACGGGGAAAGGAGAGGCGAGGCAGCGATGCTTCTTTTTTTAATCTACGCGCGCTGCGAGAGGCGCGATATCGTGATGAATAATCGCCCGATCGTTATATCCGCGATATTCCGATTATCTCGGTGGGAGATCGACCCGCGCGAAACCTACCAAACACGCGCGCGTATAAACGAAGCACGCAACGCGGTTGCATCGCGTATAAGCTTATCTGCCAAGCGTTTTGACGTTTTCTTATAATAGCAGATTGACCGAGATCTCGCGTATACCGGGTGGACCGGAAGCTCGTCGTAATGCGAGCGTCGTAACGATTCCGCTCGCGAACAATAAAGTGTCGATGCGTATACGTAGATTTTTGTATGAGATACTATACAAACTCAGACTGTGCATAGATATCTACTATCTAATTTTATCTGAACGTTTCGTTTAAATATCGCACGTGAAATAAAATGTTAACTTGTCAAGGTGGAATGCAAAGTGCGAGATATACATATGTAGCACGACTTCTAAGGTGGAATTCATTAAATCCCAGCTAATTTAAGAACTCGAGTCATCGTGAAATAGAATATTTTCAATCAAGTTTGATTCTTGAATTCAAATTATATACCAATAAAACTGATTCAAAGTCATTTTAAAAACTTTTTTTTATTACAATGACAGAGCAGTTTGTGAAAGTAATCCTATGTTTATATCATGATTTATTTCGATTTTGTCATCTTAATTTAATAATACCGTACGGGAAAGGACAATTTTGCTGAATCCAGATCTGAAAATAATTTTTGTTCAATAATCAAAATAATTTTGTGCGAAAGTCAAAATGATTGCTAGAATATCAAACGTTTTATAGCAATGCTTGTCAGTTTTAACATTCTAACAAATTATTTTGATGATTCAACAAAAAATTATTTTCAGATTTGTATTTGGCAAAATTTTTAGACAAAACTTTCAACAAAATCGTTCTTTCCGTGCGTGTTAAATCCTACATTTTTTTACATGAATTTATTTAATAAAATCTTTGAACTCTTGATTTCTCATCAGTTTTAAGTGAATCATAAACGTATGTACATGTGGAAAAAATGCGTTTCAATGTAAAAATGATCTCAGGAAAAGGTGTATCCGATGAAAGAGCTATATTTAGAATACCAGTGGCTTATTCATTTGAAGAATAAATAGCATAAGGCCTCTTTTTAAATTCTAGAAAAACGCTCAAGCGCCTCGTTCTGCAATGCATTGTGCAATGCGTAAATTGCTAACACAAACGCAACACCGAACGCACAATGCGCTACG